CATCTAGCTTTCATCCATCAGTAGTGTTAATCGCTGATAAACTCCTTAAAGCAGCAGGAAGTGCTTATGAGCAATCACTTTTCTCTACTCAACCAGTCACCAACGTAAAATCGTAGACCAGGTCGGCAGACACGACCTATCTTATGGGATTTTACGTGTGACTATTCTCAGGTTTGGCTGGAGCTTCAACAATACGATTTTGAGATCGTTCACCGGAAGGGCAAGGAACATGTGGTTCCAGATATGTTGTCCGGGAGTGAACCGGTTGTTTCTGAAGTTTCCGCTTGCGACACGCGGTTATTAAGAAATGATTCGTTCAGTTGGAAGAAACCCTTTGTCTTACATACCCCTTACATACAAATTCGTTAAGTCGAGATTCCTTTCTGCCTATGGTGATTCGTCAGAATGCAAAAAGGTTGTAGGGCGAGAGGACAGATCCAAGGTATTGGAGAAATACCACCATGACCCATGGGCAGATATTGCCCATGAAGGTGGATATTACGAGAAAGGTGCGGAATTGTTAAGTTTGTTAGCAGTTTAAGCCTAATAATAAGCTGGGATTAGGATCGAGGGGTCCAAAGCAAATGGAGCTTTGGGAAATGATTTGTGTGGATCTGTTAGGGCCTTTGGTGAAGTCGACCCAAGGCTACCAGTATATTCTGATGGTGGTGGATTTTTTTCTAAGTTTCCGCTTTTGTTCCCCTTACGGAGCGCCTAGGCGAAAGGCATCTGTAAGCTTCTCGCATATCAGATTGTTCTTTTGTTTGGTGTCCCTCGGTCGGTGGTCTGCGTCAACGGATTCCAGTTTAAGAGTCGTGAACTGCCGGGACTCTGCGGTGCTTATTGCGCCCAACTCCGGTTCACCGCACACTACACACAGGCTTAGAGCATATGTTCCAGATAATCAGTGATCATGGGATCAGCAATTAACTAAGGTAGTTTTAGGAGCCAGGCCATATTTGGTAATTTTGTTAGGAAAATGGCGTTAGAAGGTAGTAGGGGTTATATCGATTCGCTAGGAGACCAGGAGAAGTTTAGTTACAAAGAGCGAAAAGAGAGGCTCGAGGATATAAGGTCTAGCGTAAGGAGTAGATTAGAAGAGGCCGGTGCAAAGTTAGCACAATAGCATAATCTTAGGAAAAGAGATGTACAGCATATGACAGGAGAATTAGTTTGGGGGAATAATTTTGTCGGACGCTACCGCCGAAGTACATTCCATTTATAGTGACGAAGAAGGTGTCGTCATGGATGTATATGCTGGAGGACAATATAGGCGAGAAAGGGGACGTAAAACGTCAAAAAATTTATACCTTATAAGGACAAGTAGGTGCAGTTTTAGGGAAAAGAAAGCTTAAACCTCTTTTCAATGAGGAGGGCGTGGAGTTGTCGCGTACTGGGCGCAACAATTTCGTTTCGTGTATTCTTCCATTCTACCCCAATTTCCTTCACTCCAAACGATAGGAGCGAACTCTCCCGGCAACTAGTTTCGTTAACAAAAGCTCAGCTTGAAGAGCAAGGCAGCTAATTGTCGGTGGTGTGCTTATATATTGGGGAAAGGTTTCCATTAGGGATGTTCGCGCTAAAACGATACCGACCAATAGTAAGGAGGATAGGAGGAAGAGATGACGCGAAAAACCACAATAGGGGCGCCACCCTTGTTTTCTCATCGCGGCAATTTTTTTGTCCACCGAATGATGACAATGGGAAAGTCCATGGTATTTTTTTGTGTGCACCGTAATGGTCGCCGTCTCTACTGAGTCAGAGGGTTGCAAATTTTATTTGTTACTTCCTTTTTGGGCTTTTCGGACTCTGTTTTAAGAAGATCAGCGACTGTTACTTGTAAGAACTTGCAAGTTAGTAATCATTACACATATTTTATTTTTACTCCTTCGCACAGTGGTCTGAATAGAGAATCTAGCGGGACAAAACTGTTTGAACAGGTTCGCGTTGATGGATTTGTACACCACTTCGTATCCACTAGTTTATGGGACCACTGATTGCAAATCTTCAGTCACTGCCATACCTACACAAAAGCGTCAGCGTTGTCTGGCTGTCAAAAAATTCTCATGCCCATACAATTTGTAGGAAGCATACCAAAACAACGCGGCGTCAACGCTGAGCGGTAAGTTGGCTGCAGAAAACGGCGAAACTGTCATTTTCGTGTTACACACAAACAAACCTATGCTTATTGTTGGTGTTATTTCTGCATTTGACGTAGCGTTGACCCTTTTGTTTAGGTATGGCACTTCGGCGCTAACGCTACGCGTCAGAAACCGCTCCGCCCAACGCTTTTGTTTAGGTATGGCAGTAAGGTTTCAAAAATCCAATATGGCGGATCCAATATGGCGGACAAATTCTTCAAAATTGATTACTTGCTTCTTTGGAATTCTTGGGTCGATAATTATGAATCTGACCACGATTTTTTTAAATTAAAAATGGGATTCCAATTAGGCGGGCAAATTAAAAAAAAAATTTTTAATCCGCGCGAAACTTGTTACTCGCAGCTTCATGGGTTTGTTGCCGCGATATTTGGCAAACTACTTTGAAAATTGAAAACAATTGCATGGGTGTCGTAAAAGCGTGCAAAAAGAGTATATAACACTTCACCGAATTAGGTTTTATAAAATTCAAGTCGGAACTCAGCGAATCTATTTAGATTTTTTCTATTTCAAAATGCAATTAAAATAAATTCAAGTTCAAATTTTCGCTAACTATTTACTAAGTTTTAGAATTTTTTAAATAATGTTTCTATGTTCAAAGTGGTCTACGAGGAAAAAGTTTGGCAATCTCTGCTTTACAACGACATTTAGTTTACATTTACACAACATCTGGTCGGGTCGTCTGCATGTTGCCATTTCGAATGGTTCGACAAACATGGTCGTGGTAGGCTGACCGGTGGGAGGATGCGAGTAGGCAAACGCGAACGTTAGTGAACGCAAACTTGAAACGGCCAACTAATCAAGGTAATGAAATCAGTTTTATTTCATCTCGTCGAGCGCGCATTTCTTGTTGTTTTACTTGCTGCTTTTGATATTTTAATTTTTTAAGTATGCAGCTACTCGCATTTCCTGTGCTTTGCTCTATTTTCTCTCTTTCACTTTTTCCTGCAAACAACACTGGGATATTCAGCTATGATGTGGCCGGCTGCAGTTGCACAACCAACCG